GAAATTCTTCTTCAATATGTCTAAACGAAACTCAACTAGTTAAGAATGGATTAATCTTGAAATAAATTAGATAAAAGTTCTGCAAACCTGTTTCCGGAATTATCCATCTTAGCCTTCTGTTTATTCTTTTTAATTCCAATTCCAATTTTGTTGGCATTTATCATTTCAGCAGATTTTTGAAAATAAATGGATACCTTTTGTTTATCCATTTTAACTCCAGTTCCACTGGAATTTCCCATTTCAGCTGATTTTTGAAAACAAATAAATACTTTCTGTTCATCGTCTTCACTATTTTCTGAATAAATCGTACACGAATTAACAAAATTTTTTTTTTGCTCATACAATGAAAAATTCATTTTTTGACTAGCTCAAAACGCTAGGGCAACAAATTCATACCACCATCAACTTCCATCCTGTGGCCTCCTTGATAACGACCCTCATTAGGATAAGTAAAGTCTGTTTGCATAAAAAAATTTAGTAGCTTCTTATTAAAACCCTATAAGAACCAATTCCTACCTTCAATGTCCATCTCCGAACCTTGATCATTGTCTTCACTATTAGAATTGATGCCTGTTTTACAAGAAATACCATTTAATAACGTATTGCAATTGGGCAGTTAAAGTTGTATAGTTTAATACTAAACCTTCAATTCTTTTCTTGATATCACTTAACTCACTTCCTACCTGTTGTTGTATAACTACTCATTCAGATGGTTGTTAGTTATAACAACCTCTAGTTTCAACTCTTTTTGCTATGGCTATGGCTTCAGCCAAGTTTTTAGGGGCAGCTATAGCTATGAAAGTGGAATTATTGTTCTTTAATCCATTTAAAAACATTCTAACCACATAGCCATTAGAAAATTTATTACTAACATTAACTCTACTAAGCAATTTTTTGAACTTAGTCACATAGATATTCAATTTTTCAGATTCCTTTTGACACAACCTATACAACTTGATTTGCCACTGATGTTGATGTTTTTTGGAGGTGAATTCTTCTATAAACAAATGATAAAAACTTTTGTCTTCTTTGTTTTTATTTTTTGTTTTCCAATGTCTAATATCTTCTTGATTTTCTTTATACCATTCTGCAGCTATTTCTTTTAAATAACCTGATGCAATTTCCATCTTATGATCTTCGTCGAACCACTCAAATGGATTTTTGTCATCAGTATTATAAAAGGACTTAATCTTTACAAGATTATTTTCTTTAAGCATCTTTGTTTCTTTTTTACTAACCGCTTTAGACATTACTTTCATGAATTGTCTAAATTGATCATTATTCATTTTTATTATCTTTATAGTTTAGATTATAGTTGTGAAGTCAGGATCTCACAGTCACCACCAAATGTTACAGGCTGAATCATAGGGTTTTATTAATTTATATACAAAAAGATATAATTTAGGTGATAAGGCAACTTGCCAGAGGTGTGATGTTGGTGATTTGACAATAATTTGTTTTATTAAAAGAGATTATCAGTGTAAGTTATTTAAGGTACCATGAATAAATTGTTGGGATGTCTTTTAACTAATGCGAATTTCCAACTCTTTTGTAGATTATTCTATCCTAACGAACTCAAGGGGCTTAGGGATAATTTTAATAATACATCGTTTAAAGAATCATAGCGAAGCTATTATACATCAAGGGGCTTATTACAATTATAATAATAATTTCTCCTAACGAATTCTTTCTTTAGCCTTATTTTCCAGATCTTCTTTCTTGATCTTAGTTTCTTCTTTTCAGAATTCTTCTTCGGATTTCACGTAGGCTATCCTTTCTATTCTTTGGCAGGCAAGCCTCATATAACCGTGGATCCAGAATTCCAATATTATATCCGGTTTAGTCACGAGATTACTGCGCCAATTTGACGATCCTTCTTTGCCCGTGACAATATATATTGATTAAAGTCCCAGAAACTTTGATGTGCCAATAAAAGAAGTTTAAAAATGGATTGTCTGTCAGACTAAATTAAATCATAGAACCAAATAAATATTTCCTTCAGTGTTGAAAATTCGGCACAAATATGCTGTGCAAAAATTTTTTTAAATACATGAATGCTAGTCTATTTTTTATGCAATTTACACAGCCCATTGTTAATTTGTGCAAATAACAATACATGCACAACGATTTTTCAACACTGCTTTCTTCTAATATTATAAATGATGATTCTTGTTCATACCGATGTTTCTTCTATGAAACTTAATTTATTGTGTTTAAATACCTCTATTGCAGCCTGAAGATAATAAATGGTGCTGTATCTAGATCAGATCATGAACTACATGTAAATTTATCCAATTGCAACCCGATTACATAATTTTGAACTTATTCAAATAATTATCGTTATACGTCTAATCAAGAACAATGTGCTCTATTCAATTTTTGGAAGCATTAACCAAATCTGACACTATTGCTATGATCGAATCTTATACTACGTATTATATCGGGTATTCTGGCGCAGGTGGGTAATGTGACGCACTCATGATATCGCGATACACTGATCAGATCGAAAATTTTTGATACCATTCGATTCGTCTTACTGAGACGAATCAAATAATGTAAAATTTTTTCTGATTCTAATTGCTAAACCACAAGATAAAAGTAAAAGTCGACATTACTTATGACAGTATTAAGTTTCTTTTAATTTTTATAATATATTTCCTCATTTGGGTAATGTCCGAGGAAGGATGCAATAATACGATACGAAACACATAGTGAATATAGTGCGCCAGAATACCCCCAAATGTAAAAAACTATTTTTTGAGTAGATTTTGAAAGCTCATATTTCAATATATATTTTTTTTAAAGTCGTTTTTTTTTTTATTGGCAGATATATAGTTAATTAGCTGAGTAAATAAATACGCTATTCCTAAAAATTTTTATATAAGCATCTCTTAAATGCGCCAGAATACCCGACCCTCCTAATAGTATTAAAAATGAAAACTATACGTATGCATGCAAATAATAAGTTAGTCGTGCTTGAAATAGATCATGACATCAGTCTTGTATAATTCGTGTTTTTTTTTTTTTTAACTTTCATACAACATATACTCGTTATTGGTCATTATTTACCAGGATGCTGAGATATAATGGTGGCCAAGGGCCATCGGTATGAAGTAACGCCCGCTGTGAATAAATTAGCGATTGTAATTATCATGACCCCAATAATATGATATTGCATATTTCTAATGTAAGCATCCAACCATTTCTGCATCTTGTTTGATCATTTCCATACGTGATACGCTCACCTCCGATAGGAGATGAAGTGTATTATTTGTTGGAAGTGACCCAATAACATACATGAAATGGTTAGGTTGTCTTAATAAAATTTTGTTATTAGCATCTTTTACCTTGTCCCAACTGCCTCGTAAAATATTAGTGTGACCTGTTTTGGGTGCACGGATCATTTATTAGACATTATATACATCCGAATATAATAAATACTGATATGGAAAATTAGAAATAGTAAATTGTGCTAGGAATAGCCATAACAGGTTAAATAGGACTTAGATAAGCATACTTGTCGAAGTCGGCTGTTAAAATTGTGAATGCTCCAAGATCATATATACAAGGGTCCAAGATTCCAGGTTTAGGACTGCGGCTGGACGGGCCGATTTGCCAGTCTGAATGAATGAATTGACACGGAATGTTGGGAATAACCTGTAAGGTATGCGATTCTGCGATTTTATGAATTGGCTGGAGGGTAGTCTTTCTTTAATAATAATATTTTTTTTTAACTTAGAGTTCATTTCTTTTGTATAGATCTGTGAGCGCTTTTTGTAATCTAAGGCTATAACATTATCAGTTATGTCAAAAAACCGTTGTTACAGGTAAATTTGACCAAACAATGCTGCACAAAATCACATCCACCTTTGTATGCAACCATAACGCCCTGTGTTCTTGATAGTTTGCCGTTGAAAGTATGAGCTATTAACGATCATATCAATAAGTTGACTCAACAATTATTCCCGTGACTACCGCAAGACTCGACCAAATCATATCACACATCTGAAGAGAAATGAGGATATCTAATCGGTACCTTACGAATAGAACCTGATATATTGAGTTTTTTATCACACCGTCTCGAAGATAATATTAAGCCGATTATTATGTCAAATATTGACGAAGATGTATGAATTTATACGAGTATTTCACCGTGTTATTATCATGGGATCCGACTTTTTTTTTTAGAAACTGGTAAGCCAATGTTTTTACTTGGCAGTGCTCACTTAAAGATTAATAATGTTCTAGACATCAAAGGTGCCAGTTTACCTAATATTAAAATATATATATCTAAGCGTAGATTGATACGATTTTATTTGTGCACCATAACAAAATTTAATTTATCCTTTTCTTTCTCATAAATATCGTATGTACGTACGTCATACGTACAGTACGTACAATACGTATGTATCTTATGCTTATTATTAAACTATTAGTGATCCTCGCAGGTCGACGATTGGAGTCGGAAAATTTAAAGGTTCTTCGTATACCTTGTTGAATGCATGCAGAATGCTTTTAAGTGAATACACGTTCCAATCATATGAACTAACTTACTTTTTGTAATACTAAGAATAAATCTGACTGGTTCAAAGCTTTGAAATTTAATACGTACGTACACAACTTCTTCGTAAGACGTTACATAATAACGCGCTACCGATCAATATAAGGTTATTAAAAACTGTAAGGATCTTAACACAAAGTAATAGCGGAAAGTGATTGACGTCAAATGTATTTGTTTCACAAAGCGCGGTTGAAAAAGACTGGGTTCGTGAAGAATAGATAATTTTATTCTGAAAAAAATTTTTTTTTTTTGATTCCCCTTTTTTAGGAAACAAAAATCTTTGTAATAAATAAAGTTACCAATCTTTATATGTTTTTTTAAATTTCATTTAAATACTAACAAACGGTGATTATATTAGTAGATATATTTGTTTGATATAAGTTTAGAGATATAACCACAATCAATCAGATATTTTTTAAACACCCATATACAGAAAAACATGAGTGAAAAGGGAACTGCGATCACTTCTAATATAAACTTTGAAAAAAATGCCGTAAATGAACCTTTGCTTTCACAAGATTTATTTGATTCAGTATTTGGAAACTTTGGAGATACATCTACTATTAGTAACATGGATTTAAGTCTTAAAAAGAAACCTGAATCAGTAAAGAGTATAAAGAAAGGTAAGAAAGATGAGAAATTTACTTATTAATATGACATGTATCAATTTTAAGATAATTTTTATTTTCTTTTTTTAAGATGAAAAACCAACACTGGATTTCAGACAATCATCATCTTCTTTCTTATATTCTTCGCAAGGTAACATGTCTAAAAAGTAAAAACGATTATTAATAAAATGATATTGATTGATACACATTTTTTTTTTTTCAGATGAAAAATCCAGCAGCGTTGACTTTAGAGAACAAATTAATTTCGAATCAAGTGATACGACCGATCAAATTCCAATAGCTTTTTCTTCTGTTTCACTGAATCTTGATATTGGTGGTAAGAATCTATTCGCTTACTATTAATTTTGAACGAACAAAATATTAATGTAAATGCTAAATATAAAATTTGTTAATGCACTGATATAGAATTTGCAAAAGAAAAATCGTACCAAAAAAATCAAGAAAAGAAGGAAACAAAGACTGAACGAAGAGCATATAAAAAAGATAGGTCAGGTGATACAGCAAAATCAGATTGCGGATGTTTAATAATGTGATTTTTTTTTGGTTGTTTTATACAGTTTCATACTACTCTTTCTTTGAGTATTAATTAATTTAATTATACATTTATTTACTTGAATTAAAAATGTAAAAAAATTTTTATATACATATTATATATATATATATATATATATATATATATCACATTTTCTTTAAATATATTTAAATAATAATATATAGATAATTTTATAGATTATATCGTTTTATTATGTTTGTTTATTTCCCTTTAATATTATTAATTAAATTAACATGTAACAGATTCGTGTAAAGACCAACTCGCATTATTTTTATTGGCGTTTAAACTTTGCCAAGATTTACTTATTGACACACAAGATTCCAAATGCTATACCATAAAAAAAATGAACCTGATATTAAGGTTCTTAATAGAGTGATTGGGCTTGGTGCAGAGAAAAGGGATCAAATTGACAAAAAAATTTCTTCCCAAAAAATTAATTATCTCGCGAACTATCGGCTAGAATCACAGGATTTTGGTACCATTTGATTCGTCTCATCGAGACGAATCGAATCGAATGGTACATAATCATGTGATTTAGCCGATAGTTCGCGAGATAATTAATTTTTTGGGAAGAAATTTTTTTGTCAATTTAATCCCTTTTCTCTGCACCAAGCCCAAATAATCAAGAATTAATATTCGAAACCATTCAATTCCGTAATATCCTTAACATCGCTACTTCGCCCCGTTCATTCATTTATAAAAAGAATTATTATGTCTTAAAAAACCTTGACTTGAGCATGAGATCAAAAATAAATGGTGCACTCAGTCGAAATCAAAATTTACATATTAGTTTTTTTCTTTGATTTTAATAGTTCTTGTTTCTTTATTTGCAAATATATTTGGCCATTACTTTTTTCTATCTCAGGTAATGTTTAAAATAATAGGTTGAGCTTACTAGAATTAGTAATTATTACTTGTCTTTTAAATTATAGTTTTTCTTCTTTTCTTTTGATTATGTGTTGGTGGTTATTATTTTTTATTGTAAATATATTTAACTATTATTCTTTTTCTTTTTTTTAGATAACACTTTCGTAATAGTTGAATATGCTAAAATTATATATTTTTTTAAAATTATTATTTTTTTTTTTAGCCTTGTAATATTTTTTATTCTATTTATAAATACTACTATTCTTTTTTTTTTTAATTAATACTTTAGTAATACAGTCAAACCTCTCTATAATCACATACTTGGGATACATAAATGTGTGATTGTAAAGAAGTGTGACAGATATAGAGGTCAAATTTATTATATTTA